AAATATCAAATTCTTTAGTAACTTTTACTGAATGGCTATTTGTAAATTACTGTGTTTTGTTTTTCTGTTTTATCAGGTCCTTTGTTTCCTACACAATGAGTGTAATTGCTGTTAATTTTGTTGTACCCTTAACAGTCATGTTTTACTGTTATTACAATGTTTCCCGGACCATGAAACAATATGCCAGCAGTAACTGCCTGGAGAGCATCAATATAGATTGGTCTGACCAAGTAGATGTGACAAAGGTATAGTAAATTAGGGCATGTTTTTTTTAAGCGTGTTCTTTAGGGTTAAATCTTGAGGCCAAAGGAGCATTGCAGCCTTTTAAGTATTTCTGTTTCTTACATTCCCCCTTTTCCTTTTGTACTAAATACTAAGTAAAATTCAGCCTAGGTGAAAACTCTTGGCTTGACTTATAACACTATATTCTTTACTTTTGGCCTAATACTCTTTCCAAATGAATAGCTACTTTGAAGGCTGGGAACAATCTGAATTTTCCTTGCCTCTACCCTTCTGGCATTACATAGAAATGTACCTCAGAGGTATCCATCCTAGGAGGACTTTTACTCTTTGTGTCTGTAGAGTCCTTAGGCTTTCTGCTAGGTACACAGGGGTATCTGGTCTGAAATGGACTGGTCAACTCTGATTTGAACTCATGGCCTAGAAATGAAAGCACATTTCCAAGCTCCTGAAATGTGTGATTCCAATCCCTTGTTCTTTTCAGTCTGTAAAGCTTATCTCTTTCTTATGTAAACAGTAGCGAATGTGAGTTATGGCATAAAATGATATATCCTTCCTGGAAGGTTAACATTCTTTTAATGTATAAAAGTCCTTGAGAAAGCTTGAAGTTCACTAGCTCCTTTGATTTTGTGTAAAGATATGATTTATGGCTGGACATGATAAAAGAAGTGAGAGAGAATTGGACAGACGAGTATGTACCTATGCTTTTGAATTACTTATCAATGCAAACTTAACATTCCTTGGAAAACTTTATCATTATTAAATTCTGAGAAATGGTATTTTTACCTAAAAATAATAATCTGAACATTTTGCTTTTCTGAAGAAATTTCAGAATGCTTAAAGGTGAGGATTCAGCTATAAATGTAAACTCATATTTGTGAAGAAAAAATATTTTTACTGTTTTGCAGTTGAAGACACTGAGTTATACTTTGGAAAAAAAAGATTGAAGCTTTGGAGTTTCTTTTTTGGAATCGGACTTCTAGCTTTGTCAGCAATTAGCATCTTCTAAGCTTTCTACACCAAACTCCTAAATGAAAGGGTTCTTTACATTATTGATAGGTGTTACATTTTTATTTAAATAGGAATCTTCTGTGGAGAGAGTCACTGTTTGTTTATTGGTTGTGCTCTAGAAAAGCTCATACAAAGTAGCTATTTACTTCTTGTTTCTCATTTTGTTCATCACAGAAAGACTGACTAAGGCTATAGGTAAACAACGCTAGGGAATCCTGTACATACAAAGAGCCCTTCAGGCTTTTTTGTTTATTTAGTGATTTGTTTTGTCCTCTTGATTAATTTGACATTTTCATTCCAGTTTCAATTACTGATTCATGTCCCTGAGAAAAACCAGAGAGGTCTGTCCCATTTGGTGCCTTCCATTACCCTCATCTTTTTTTGTTTATTTCTAGCTGTGGTGTGGAGTCTTCTGGGGTATAAGCCCCAGTATGCCCAGACTGTTCTCTCTGACAGGCAGGCAGAGAAGATATAACTGCTCAGATAGCTGCTCAGTATGATGCTTGAACATGGCTAACGTGCTTCATTAAATCAACCAGACACTTCTGAGTTCCACAAGTGTTAGACTGAGCCTTTGTGTAGAAGAACATTTACTTTCTTTAATTTAACTGTACCACAGTTAAACCTTATTAAATAGTTTTATTAACATCCTAATGGAACAGGTTTTGGTTTAGAATTTACTCTCTGTTCATATTTATTATTTGTAATAACGTCCTAAAGTGACCTGTTATGGTGGTCATAACTCATGTGTGAAGTCTTCTCTGGCCATTGAAACTTTTGCTGTACAGATTTAGCATAATCAGTAATGCTGACTGTGAAGGAAGATTGTACATAATGAAGTCACAGCATGCCAAAATACATGAAAGTGTGATGTGATATTTAATCTCCAAAGTGAGATTTCATTGTAACCTGTCAAAATTTGTCAGGTGTGCTTGTTTACCTGTTGCTATTTGGTTCTGCATAGCTCTATTTTCACATAGGTGCATGTGCTTTTGAGGTTAGGTTATGAGGTCTTTATCTTCAGGTAATGCTGGTTATGTGTCTGTTCCTCTTCTTTTACAGATGTCTGTTGTGATGATTGTAATGTTCTTGGTGGCATGGTCTCCATATTCTATTGTGTGTTTATGGTCTTCCTTTGGAGACCCAAAGAAAATTTCTCCTGCAATGGCCATCATAGCTCCTCTATTTGCAAAATCTTCCACATTCTATAATCCCTTCATTTATGTCGTTGCAAACAAAAAGTAAGTGTTCCTAATTTAGTACCACTCTACTTGACAATTTTAGCATATCATCTAACTATAGGAGGATCATCTGAAAAATATGACAAGCTGATTAGCAAAGAGGTCAAAGGGTAAGCTACTGTTGATTTACCAAAAATGACCTTCTGGACAGGAAATCCTAAAAGAAATTGTTTTGATCATCATCAGAGTATACTAAATTAATAAAGATTTTTGCGAACACATCAACACAGCTTTTGTAAGACAGTGTTTTGAAAGTCCCTTTGTGGCTTCTTAAAAGGACTTAGAGATTTTGGGATGCATCAGCAATAGACTGGTTTTTATAATTATGGCCAAAATGTGTGGCGGCTTAGTGACACGGAACTTCTGTAGATTTCTTTGCTTGATTTGGGATGTGTCATATTCTGACTGATTAGGATGGATCGACACTTACTGTTAAAGTAAATAAGCTAAGCCTATTCTTCTGCTTTGAGCAAGCATATCAAATGCTCTAACCAAGCCAGTGTCTCTGACTGAAAACTAGCTTTTGCAAAGAGGCATCCTTCCTTTCTCTACTTCCTAGAAACAGACCCTGTCATCTCTGTCTAGGCGAATTTACCTGATATTGCTGAAAAAATCCATCTCATTTTTTTTCCCCATTCAGTAAATTCATCTTTGTCATGGCTATACACTGTCCTGGGATAAGCAAAAGCTGCCATGACCCCTGTTGTAGAAGGAACTTTACTGAGTTATTCATGTACATGGAAGTGAAAAAGACTCAAGTCCTCTCAGATTCCAAATACACCATTTTTTATTAAGTAACATTTACTGAAGTTAAAAACTGTTGTAATACTTAAGGTCAGCTTACCCAGTGTTTCTTGGTATTTGATTCTCCAGCTAATGATCTTTCTGCTTCCTCTTTCTTGTCTTGGCAGGTTTCGGAGGGCAATCCTGGCAATGGTGCGATGTCAGACAAGACAAGAGATAACTATAAACAACGCCTTGCCCATGAGTGTATCACAAAGTGCACTGACATGATAGAACTCATGTCATTTGCATGCATAAACTAAATGGAAAGGAGTGAAATCTTGGTTAAAGCTAATGAGTCTTTCAGAAGATTAATCTTTTGGAATAATAATCTGCCTCAGACAGCTGTTTCTGTTAATCTCAATAATCTGTTTAGATCAGTTAAGAAGGCAAAAAGACAAAACCCGTTAAGACTTTAGGTTTTGAGAATGAGGTTTATTGGCCCAATATGTCTGTCCCAAGCAAAAAGGGGTAGTGAAGTGCTCACTCTGACTCTTACAGTTTGGACAAGGTGACACAGGGGCAGGGAGAGCCTGAAGCTGCGAGTGCTTAAATTCAGTAACATGATTTTTGCACCTATAATTCCTTTCATGAATTACTTTTCCTTATCTTCCTTTGAAAGTTTTCCAGACTTGAAATATTATGCATTCTCCCTGTGTGAATATATTTCTATACCAGGTATCCATGTTGGTATGCTTTGCAGAGTTCTGCTTCTATGAATATGTTATCAAAATATCTATGCAAACCCAATAGAACCTGTTATCAGCTTTTAGGATTTTTAAGGAGTTTTGGGATATTTTAATGTATTTTTGAAGTTTTTGCTCACACTACCAAATGAATTTCTAGGAAAGACAGCTTTTGTTTTAGTAATAGTATGTTTCTAGTGCTTGTGACTGCATAGCAAATCCTGAAAATGAGAAAAAATGTACCCTCAGTCTTGACATGTGGGATGCATATAAAACCAAGTAAATATTTATAGTCATTTCTCATAATTTCTAAGTCAATCTCCTGGTTACATAGGTCTGTTGTGTAATTTTCAAAAAATACCTTTTGGTGAAGTGATTTATTCAGGATGGAAAAGATGACTGTGTATGTATCTATTTATGAATGCTAGTATATGCACTCTTGATGATACTCAGATTTTTAGAATAAATATCTTCTGTTATTATGTATGCATGAATATGAAGTTTGGCTTTGCAGTGTGTAACTTATTTAAAATACATGTGGGTGGGTTGTTTTGTTTTTTTTTTTTGTAAAAGAAGACAGTTTTTACAGGATTATGTCATGAACTTTGGAATCTAGGCTTCCTATTAACTTATAATTTTTAGTATTAAAGAAAATGCAATACCCTCATGCTGTACTAGATTTCTTTCAGGAACCTTGGAACACTTTATGGACACTAACTAATGCGTTACCTCTTAGAAGGAGCAAAGAGACTTTATTGCATACTAACTCCACAAGCTATATATTAAAATAGCCTTGAAACATGCTGGCTATGATTTGAAACAGAGTGTGTTGTTCTGACAGAATGAAGAATGAACTGGCTTAACTGATCCATTTCAGGATACATTTGAAGGTTAAGCAACCACAGATCTCAGTTAATCTGATGTAATCTGCTGTTACTAAATGGATATCTGCATTCACATTTGTAGCACACTGCACATGAGTGCCTAGGAATGAAGTTTTAATTTTTATTTCCATATCAGTTCTGCTGGGGGGGAAGTCATGTATCTGTTTGTTTGTTTCTACCTCCTAATGAGCTTTTTTGAAGAACTGCATGGGTTTTGTCCTTCACAATGCACTTGTGTTTACCATGGCAGAAGTGATGGCACTGGAGCAAGGTATATATTTTATTATTTGTTATACAAGGCAATTTATAAGAAAAAGGGTTGAGGAAATTGACAATAACATTCTCATACATTGCAAATTAGTTCTAGCATAGTTGAAATAAGGCATGTTTTATACTGGTGTTATACAGCTAGAAGCATTCCTGAATAGGGACAGATGGTGATTATGGCTTTGTGTTTCGCAAATAGCTACTTTAAATCTTCAGTTTTTGTAGAAAGCAATTTCTTTCTGCTCCATGATTTTCCTACTATTGTAATGTCCTTTCTATTTTTAGAAAATAGTTGTCTACCATAAGGTAATTCTGCTTTAAACAAACACAGTAGTTTCTTCTTTTTTTTTAATCTTCAGGAAAATCATATAATTTTTGGTAATGTAGAGGTTAATTTGAAATTTGGTCATCTGGATATTGTTATGTCAGTTTTTGCTATTTGTCATAATACACCCAGTATAAAGCTGTATGAGGAGAAAGTAAAAGGAAGGAAAAATGGGGACAACATTTAAGACAGTCTTCTTGAGAGGAGGGAAATCTTAAAGCTGATGAGTGCAAACAATGTATCCCACAGAAATGGAAATGTACTGATTCTTGGAAATGCTGAGAAATCCCATTTCAGTAAAATCAATGGGAGCAGAAAGTTTTTAGCACCTCTAGAAAGCAGGTCATTTCTATGCAGGCAACAGAAAGAAGGCTAGAAAGCTGTCCCTTAGAGAAATATGCTAACATTTTCAATTCTCAGTTTGTTCTGAAAGGTAAATATAGACAAATACTTTGAATCTTCATCATGCAGAAAAATTAGAAATTAGTAGTCTGATTTTCTGAGTTTTAGTAACACAGATGGCATGCAGTTCCCATTCGAGATACATGCATGATTTATTCCTTATGCAATGGCTTCTGGTTTTCAGTTGTCAATAGAATAGAGGACAGAGGACAGTGTTTATATGCTTTATAATACAGCAAATTAAACTTCACCTGAAAGTGTTTTGTATTCTTTTTCTCTTTAGAAACTCCATCTTTGCCTTATTGATTTTTTAAATGCAGAGGACTGTTCTTGATCTGACATACTCTATTCTTCTAGTAGAGCTGCAGGAAGTAACACTATTTGCATTTAAATCTAAAGTACAAATTTCTGATAAAGAAATATCAATGTCTCTCTCATTTTTAAATTTTTTTTTCTTTTTTTCTTTTTTCCTGGTGTTAGGTCTGTACTCTGTAATGATCCTGACATGTATGAGATCCCCGTAAATGTTCCTGTGGATACTGTAAAACTTCGTATAGAGAAAACTGTCATACGAAGGATTCCGACTGAAGCCTTTTACTACCTAGTAGATCTCAAATACCTGTGGGTAACTTACAACTGTGTAGCAAACATTGATATCAGCAGCTTCTATAACTTGAAACAATTGCATGAGTTACGGCTGGATGGTAATCTGCTCTCAGGCTTCCCTTGGGAATCACTGGCAGAGATGCCTAACCTACGGACTCTTGATTTACACAATAATAAAATAACCAGCATTCCCGCTGATGCTGGCCGGTACCTGAAAAACCTCACCTACCTGGACATATCCAGCAACAAGCTAACCACTTTGCCATCAGACTTGATGGACATTTGGCCTCCCTTCTCAGAAGCTGTCCTGTCTAAGAGCACAGGCAGTCTAGCGACCCAGAGAGTCATTTTGGGTATGTTAAACAGCTGTCTCTTTCCCCATTAAAATGTGTCTAAATGTTAAATTGGAAGTGAGAGCAGGTAGGGGACCAGCCTGGGATTCAGGAGAGTGGGTTTTATCCAGGTCAGTCCTCTGGTTTCCTCAGTGATTTATTTATTTATTTATTTATTGTTGGTGATGGAAAACTATAAAATGAAGATAGTGATCTTGATGAATGTTGTTATCTCAAGGTTATAAAACTGAAGTAAAATATATGAGGTTCTGGTCTACCAGAATACAGGCCATATGGAGTGTTCAGTATCCATAGAAATGAAGAACTTCCAAAAATTGTGTTTTGGATGACATTTCCCTCATCATCCTTCATTGACATCATATGTATCTTCAACGGCTCACAAGCCAAGCAAGTAGCTAGAGTTGATGCTCATATGAAGCATATCCTGAGACACAGTGCTTCAAACAGTGTTGGTAGTTCAAAATGGGGTGGCTCTGCTGTCCCCATGACTCCTGTTGACCTTGCATTGCTTTAAAGCTGACTGATTATCCTGAATTTTTTCCTGATTTACATGTTGAATATGAGAGAATAGGAATCTGATCCCTACAACTTCACAGTACTTTTTATAGTATTTAAGGTACTTTTATAGTATTTGAGGTATGTATTTAAGAATAGTTTGGCCAGACTCTGATGTTTTTCATAATTTTATTCCATCTCTCCAGTATACCATCACATCAGTTCTGTTTTTGACTTAGTACTTCATCTTATGCTTTCTCTCTACTTCCTAGTCTTGCAGGTAACCCTGTTCTCTTCTGCAGTCTCAGAACACGGTTGGAACAGCTCTATCACTAGTGTTCTCTTCTGTCACTGTTTATGTATAAGTGAAATTTTGATGTTTCTGTAGTGTAGTGGTGGAAAGGAGGAAAACCGCCTGTCTCTTTCTACTGTGGCAGTTCTATACCCACTGGTAAAGATCTGCCCTGCATTGTATTGCCCAGTATTTCCAGTTTCTTAATCTAATCCCCCACTATTCAGTGTTCACTTTTTCAGCTGCTTTGTTTCACAACAGAAACTGCAATTTAGAACTCTCATTCAGGGGAGATTGTAGATAAGTAGCTTCACAGATGCAAGTAGGCTGAATGAGTTTCAGGCATGCATGGTAAGTATAGGTTTGCAGCATTAACAGGATCTTCATCTCTTCAGGACTAAAAGAAAAAGCTGTAGAAGTATGTCCAACTCAGTAACCTTTTCCCTGCCCCCATACTGAAGGCTACAAGAGACAGTAAGGTAGGAGCTGACTATGCTAGATCTAATTCTCCTGATGATCTCATGTGGGAGACCCTTCCTTGTCTTACAAAGCCCTCACTACATAAAAAACAAAATAACCAACCAAACAAGAAACCCAACATGCCAAAAAGCTCCAAACCCACGCACGCTCTTTTCTCTTCCCCGTGACAACCATCTGCAAGCTTTGTTGGTGCGGGTACCTTGCCAGCCTCCTCTAGACCTGGAAAACCCTCTCATGCCAACATTGAGTCCTCTAGAGACTTGAAATGTGACATTTGGATCATTTTCATTTATGAACTACAACTGGGTTTGAGCACAGATCTTCAGAGGGGAACACACACTGGGTTCAAACAGTGCCTTGCTTCCCATTTTTTAATGTTACATGCTGAGGTAGGCTCTGTGCAGTCACTACAGATTTGGATCTGAGAATGTAAAATACCAGTTAATACTTTCATCGTGTTGTGTTAGGTAAATATACCTTAGGTAAGCTATGAATTATTAGCTGAATTTTCTTTCATTGACGTCATATAGCCTTCTGATGAGTACATTCCAGTGAAGACAGTCCGTACTTGCTGTATAGGAAACTATGGTGAATAAGAAAACATCCCCTTGCTCTGGAGATTAGAAAGTGCAATGCTTTTTATGTCATGGGTTATTTTGACAAGCTGAATTAGTCTCCACTGAGTGTTAGTTTTGTTATATTACTAGAGCTTGCAAAATTGTAGTTAACACCACTCCCACTCACTGCCAGGAGCTCATCTTTAGATTGCTGTTGATGGACTGTTACAAAACAGTTGTTTTTCAGGAATGAACGGCTGATAGAAACTATTGGGCTAGAAAGATGACCTAGGAGTTGAGATGTCTCTGTAATGCTCCAACCATAGGAGATGTCAGCTTAGAACAGGAGCAAGATGTGTTCTTCTGACACCTCTTCTGTCTCTACTGGGATTGCTGGAGCCTGAGGGAGAAGAAATGTAACTCACAGATATTCTCCTCCTCCTCTGAAGGAGAGATAAGAATCACAAAGGTATGTAATCAGGTAGGATTTCAAAAAGGCCATCCTGTAGCCTGCTGGGATGCAGAACCAGATGAACTGAACCATACTGGATAAATCAGTGTTGTTCTTAAAGCCCATGGCCTGACCTTTCTAGAGCTTCTCTGATAACCTCCTCCAGTGCTTATCTATGAGGACAGTGAGAAAGTTTCTCTTAATATCTAACCTCAATCTCCCTTACTGCAAACTAATCTGATTACCTCTTGTCCTACATAAGATGAACATACAGAAAAACTAATGACCATCTCTTACAGTAGTAACCTTTCATATGTTTTCCTTCCCCATTTGCTGCCTTAACTAATCACGCCATTTGTTTTTTGTTTTGTGTTTTTTGTTGTTGGTTTTGTTTGTTGGGTTCCGCCCTTTCCCCCTCTTTTTACCATAGATACTGGTTGCTTTTGGACTCCTTTGGTTTTTGAAAAAAAAAGTTTCTTTAAAATGTAATGCCCACAGTTGCAGACTTTGATGCTCAAGAGTGTGCTGTGTGCGCCAGCTGTTGTTCTCTGTAGGTGCATTCAGTCTGACCCATGTACCTGCATGGAATGGTAACTACAACCAGAGCTCTGCTAGAAGCTGGAGCCCAGAGTAAATAAATGCTGGTTTTGTCCAGTCAGGAAGACAGCAGTTCAATTCTACTTAGTGTAAGTAATTACTACTGGAGCTGGCTTCTCTCCTAGTTCTGGCAAAACAAGAACCCACTCATATGTTTGTGCATACATATTTTCTAACACCAGGAGGCAATTTTGTCTTCATTATCTTGACTGAGCATCAAGGAGGTTGCATGTAAGAGAAAGTTCATGTTTCCCATGTTTACTTCAGGGATTCTTTGGGGAGCCATGGACTACTTCTGCCCAGGGGACTGGCATGCTAACATCTCTTTATTCCAGTTCATAGTTTTTGTCCTTACAGGTTTGGGGTTTTTTTATTACCTCCCACTGTATGATATTCCTCTGTGTCACACTATCTTAAATGAAAGATGATCAGGGAATGATTCCTGGTCCTATGGCCAAATGGCTCACCCTGGCTCTCATCCACACAATCTAGGGCCAGCTCTCTTTTAAGCTGGCTGACTGTTCCATGCTTTGTAAGATTCAGCCCTTGGTTTTCTGGGGGCCCTAAGGGATGCTGAAGTGACCCTAAAATGTAACTATGGGGGTGGAGATGTTTTTTCTTCAGTTCAAGCTGCCAGAAGTAATTGAGAATTGCATCACAACCCATACAACTGTGCTTTTGTCATATAAAATAGCAAGGGTATGTTGTATGCCTGACAGTCGTGCAGGATGGTTTGGAGGGACAAAGCCTGATGCACTTACATCAGGGGCAAGAATGGGATAGAGAGATCTGTCTTTGGTGTGGTCTCATCTATAAACATTTCAGGGAGCAATCCCTGGAGTGCAAGTGCCCCAGGAGCCATGACTGGCTTTGTCTTGGAGAGTGACTTTTTGAACAATTCAAAACAAAGCCGTGGAGTGAGCTGACAATTAAGCAGTGGAAATGATTGAATGACCAGTGTGTGAGTTCATCTAGCCCTCTTTTTGTTACCTCTGGAGCTATAACCTAATACTTTGATCCAAATCACAGCTAAGTTTGAGCATTGGCTGCTGTACAGAGCAAAATTTCTGGCGTGAATGATGGCAGTGGCATTTTCCATATGGAAAATTGCACCTAGTGAGTAGCTGAGAGGAACAGAGGAATCCAGTATATGATAGAGTGGCAGTTAGATGAGATCTTGCCTCTGTTATATGTAGAGGTGCCAAAAATTTGAATGCTGCAGGTCCATCAGGCTCCCAGCTGTTACACTGGGCCATTGGGTAGAAGCTTCTTTTCCTGAAACTACACTCTAGCAATTACTGTGTGGAGGAAACACTGGGCACAATGTGAGAAGTGGGCTTTACTGTTTTAGAACCGTGGATCGAAAATCTTGTAGCTTCAGCTGGAAGAGAGCCCTGTGTAGGTTGCCCCAAGCAGTGGTGAGTATCTCCTCCATCAGCCCAGAACTTGAATATTTCACACTGCCATTTTACAGCAACTGAAAAGCAGTATATTATACAAGTTAAGGCCTGAGACTGGTTACTGATTTACAAAGGAAATTTCACTCACAGCTATTTCGAAGGTTAAAGTCCATATTAACACAACATGGGGAAACCCTCCTTACTGAGAAGACTGCAAAAAAGTACATGCAGAGACTCCTGTGTACATATATTTGGCATTGTACACACAAACATACATACAAAATTGTGTGAGAGTAAATTTAAAATGTGCTGAATCTAGAACGTAGGAAGGCTTTTAGAGCAATTTATAATCCCTATTGAATGTTAAAATACACTACATTGGTTATACTGCAATGCATAAGTATTTATCTATGTTTGTTGTGCCTTGGTTAGTACGTCTTAGGTCAACAAGCTGCCTTAATATTTCTAGAAAAGAGTCCAGGGTTTCTAAAGGCTTGCTGTTCCAACAGATATACATGCCATTGGAGACTTAGCTTTATTTTTTCTTGTTAGGAAATTATTTTCCAGAGGGGTTTCCGTCTTATTCCTTTTTTAAACCTCCCCATTTTTAATGGTTTCTCTTCCCCCCCCCCTTTTTTTTTTTAATAATTTCCTTTATTCATTAATGTGTTTGTTGTCACTTGTATCATCTTTTAAACATAAGCCGTTATAGCTCAGAATGCCCTTTGTAGTTTGGAAACTAGGTTTACATTTCCATTTATGTTCTCTGCAATAGCTAACTGAGGTATAATCAAATGCAGTGTTTTTTCCTTGCTTCCAACTCAGTAGTGCTTTCATCCTTCCATTTTGGAAGTTCACATGACTTGATGACTTACAATGGCTGTGCAAGTTTACTAAAGATAATGTGGATACTGCTAGATATTGGCAAGACAGAGATAAATAGAAGGAATGGGCAGTGGAAGCAAGGAAGGAACTCCTTTAGCTGTATATATTATATTTATTTTTATGAGTCCTGTTTATTTAGCCAGTTCCACTGGGAAGCATAATGGATGGGGGAGATGAGGTGACTAACTGAAGTAACTTTCTTTGCACTAAAGTGTGAAAGTACAGTCTTCTGTGACTACAGCTTCCTTCTGAAATTGAAACCAGGCCTTTGGAATGATCTGAAGTGGTCAAACCTGTGTCCCAGACTGAACTAAACAGACACCCAGTCTCAGTACTGTGCATCTTTGCTTTACTGTTGCTTCTATTTTGTAATTTTTTAACACTTATCGTAAGAATTTTGGGTCTTCTTTAGGTCATTGGGAGAATATGAAAGCCATGTATTTATATACATTAGGAAAAATTTCTTCACTTAAAGGGTTGTTAGGCACTGGAACAGGCTGCCCAGGGAAGTGGTTGAGTTGCTCTCCCTGGAGGTATTTGAAAGTCGTGTAGTTGTGGCACTTAGGGACATGGTTTAGTGGTGATCTTGACAGTGTTAGGGTTATGGCTGGACTGAATCTTAAAGGTCTTTTCCATCCTAAATGGATGGAAAGGCCTTTGAGTGCTGATAGTGGTATTAGAAACAATAATAAAACCCATCCTTTCTTGCAGTAAAGCTTGTAGGATGAAGAAACATTGCAGAAGAAATATTTTCAGTAGCCTTTAATGTAAGAGAGAATCTGCTGCCTGGTATGTGGGAAGGGAGCCCTTACTGATGCTGCAAATCTATCCTGATGAATGCTGTGGACCCAGAGCTCCTGCCCTGCTGCCTGCTTGTAGCACAGCTGCTCTGTGCTTCTGTCCTCTAGGTAGCACAGAGGCTATGCTGGTAGTTCACTTGCATTTTAGCAGCATTTTGTTATGGAGTAACTCTGGCGGTTGAGGGCTTGTTTCAAGGGGATCCTGTCTTCCCTCTTATACCTTAGGGGAATTTAATTTTCAAATGCTCATATAGTCTCTTTCTTAATACAGTGAGAAAAATTGACACCTTATAAGCAAGTGAGAATACAGAAAACAACCCAACCCAGGAATATTGTCTCTAACTACAAACTAAAGCTTCCCTAATTTGAAAGATGAGCACAGTTATATACATGTGTTTAATTGGCAGAATTTTTATGACCACAGGCAGCTGATGCCTAGACATATGGAAAACTTTTGGATGGTATCTCTTTTGCTCACGAAAAATTAATATTTTGGAAGGTTTTTTTTGTTTCTTGTTTTTCTTTTTCTCCTTTTTTTTTTTTTGAAGACAAATAGTTGCTGATACAGTTTCCTTGATTTCCCCTTCTCTGTTCCAGCAGGCAGTAAGTAGCAAATAACAGATGCAAAATCCCTTCTGTCTGCAAAGGGTGAAATTGGATTGTGATGTCAAAGTTATGGAATCTCTTCAGGTCAAGTCTTGTTTTAAAGAGCAGGGATTAATTGGGGTTTACCACAGTTTTAACCAATCACTGACACTGTGCTTAAAATAACCTAATCTTGATCAGGTGATAAAAGAAAGCAGTAGTTATTCTTTGCTCTACATATTTCATCCAAGAAGAAAAGCAGAATTTTTTTCATTACCTGTTTTTATGATTCCTAAAAATACCCACTGAACAATATTAGCAGGTGTTTCAGTTCTATTTTTCTTTTAATATTGGTTTAATTAATATGACTAGTCTGTTACACTTCTCAGTAATTTCAGTAGTAATGAGTTCTTGGATATCGTCTCTTATTTCAGTCTGTAAGTTCTTCTTATTATTAATACTTGGGAAAAAAAAGAAAAAGAAAAAGGTATGCCCAAATGTATAAGTCAAAGAAGAAAATATTTGAACTCCTGAGTGATACACTATGTTGTGTTTTACCTGGTGAAGCTGCTGTTGCTTTGTGAAGGTCAACATAGTGGAGTAATCAATAACAGCTGAGGATTTAAAATTATATGCCTCAGAAATGGCTACTCTTTCACCGTAGTAAGTTCACCAAGACAGAGAAGCTTCTCAATCAAAGACTTTTGAATCAAGAAACAAATCTTATAGCCTCTAACAGAAGAGATAGTATTCTCACATGCCATCATAAAAATACTGTAGTCATCAGCTTTATCAGGGTCATTCTCATTTTCTACTCTTCTGCTATTCTTTTTGAATGGATTTCAGAGGTTGTCCTAAATTGAAGTTTGATTTCTAAGAATATTGGTACAATTCAGAGCCACATAAGAATTTTATTGGCCTAAAGGTTTTTCTCCTTAGCCTTTTTTTTTTTTTTCAAGGGCTAGAGATGGTGAAAAGCTATAGCCCCTTAAACCATCATCTTCTCTGCAAGCATTGAAAAAAGGGTCTGAGAAGATCAAACTGTAAAAGCCCAAAGAAGGACTAAGAGCAGAGTGATGAAATGTAATAGCCCTGAGAAGCTATCTTTCCAGAAGGTACAGGCAGGTGAAAACATATCAGGCTTAAGACATCTTTTCAAAGTGTTTTTCCCAGATAAATATCAAAGCTAAGTAAAGGTAGTGCCTGTATCTTACTATACTCCTGTAAACTTCTGTGAAGAAAAAGTTTAGCTTAATAAACATTCAAACTCTTTCTCACCTCTGCAAAAGCTCCCCCACCAATCAGCCGAACAAAAAAAACAAATTGAAACTCAGAATAGGTCCATGGTTCTCCTTGCTTGTACTTGGTGGTAGTCATGCCTCATACTGTAATCACAAGACTCATATATTGCCTAACAGCATTATTTTTTCTTTCTTTCCCCTCTTCCCTCCCTGCTTCAGGTTTGCAGGACAACCCATGGTTTTGTGATTGTCGCATTTCAAAGCTAATTGAATTTTCCAAAATTGTGGACAACTCAGTTGTACTTCTTGATCCATTGGTTTCATGTAGTGGACCTGAGAGCCTAGCAGGAATCTTGTTCCAGAGAGCTGAGTTAGAGCAGTGTCTTAAACCATCTGTGATGACGTCGGCGACAAAAATCACTTCCCCACTGGGAAGCAACGTTCTGCTACGCTGCGATGCAACTGGGTACCCAACACCGCAGCTTACCTGGACTAGGTCAGACAATATACCAGTGAACTATACAGGTATAATTGCTCTTTTATAGGACATGGGAAAGCCTGAAATTGTGGGTTGCTTGTGCTTTGAAATCATTATAATGAGTAACAATGGACCAGATATTGCACCAAGCTGGCAATTGTATCTGTCAACAGCTGTTAGGAAATTCTTTGTTGAGGTTTGGTCTGAGCAGGTCCAACAAGACTGTTCTGATTCTGGATGTGGTCTGTAATAAGAACAATGTTCATGGAGAGGGGAAATGGGTGAAGCAGGAAAAGGGTAAAGGAAAAGGGAGATTGGGACAGGTGAGCATGCTGCAGCATCTCGGTGTCTTTCTTGTAATGAGGGGCCCAAAACTGAGCACATTAGTCTCACCAGTGCTGAGTAAACGGTGAAAATATTTTCTATGTTATTTGCCAGTGTTTGCTGTTTATTTGCTACACGTGTTTTGAATACTGAAGAGGCTGTGATTGTTTGATATAATTCTAGCTACAGTGATAGATATTTATGCTGTAACTTAAATATAAAAAAGTGTTTATAGCTAATGTTAAGTAGTTCACAGTTATCTTAAATCACAAGTCTGAAGAGAGCAATAGTCCGAAGTACTGAAATATCTTACGACAAAGGTAATTTCCAAAAATGTTTTAAATGGCTAGTGGGCTCAGTGTCACTTCAAGTCAGTGAGACTTGTATTTCCTAGTCACAGAGCAGCTTTAAGACATTTGATTTCTCTTCATGTGGTTTTGTTTTACTCAGTGAAACTGCAAATTATATTCTAAAAATCCTCCACATATTCAATTCCATTTTGACTGAAACTGAGAACTTTTCTGCAATAATATAATATGGCAGGGACTTCCATAGTTTGTGTGTGGAGCTTGTTTTTTTTAAAGTTTAATACATGTGATTCCTCCTGGCAGAAATAAGGGAAGAAGTAGACTAATAATGTTTACTTTCTCTTTACCAGCCTTTTATAATGTTTTACTGTTTGCATTTTCCTCTAGTAATTCAAGAAACACCTGGAGAGGGTGTCAGATGGTCCATAATGAGCTTGACAGGGATTTCATACAGGGATGCAGGAGAATACAGATGTAAAGCCAAGAACTTAGCAGGAAGGGCAGAAGCTGCTGTCACTGTCACAGTGGTTGGTGTAGTTACTACAACTGTGTCACCACAGAAGTATGGAAGGAAGCAAGAGGCACAGAGACAGAATACCACTCAGGATGAATCCAACCAGGAACCTGAGAGGACAACCACGCCTCTTCCCATCACACCAACTACCACAGCGCTGGTTAACACTGAAATATCAACAAGCATCAGGTTTACTGTCAAGAAGCAATCCAGGCCCATGTCTGATGGAAAGAAAAATTCAAAGGCAGTGACAAACGGAGTCAAAAAGCAGACTGGGGACACAAGCAGGAAAGGTGAGGAGACAAAGCAGACTGGGGAGATAAGCAAGAAAGGTGGGGAGACTTCATTGAATGCAGCAAGTATGGCTGAGCAAAATGTCACTGTAAAGAACCTAAGAGTGATCACTGAAACTGATGAAAGAGTGACCTTAACTTGGAAAACTGTCAATGCCACAAGCAGCTCTGCAGTGACTGTGTTATACTCAAAGTATGGTGAGAAAGATATGTTGCCTCTGAGCACTGATTCTAGCAAAAACAAAGTCACAATTGATGGTTTGCAGCCCAGTACTCAATATATGGCATGTGTCTCACCCAAAGGAGTGCCACCTACAAAAGAGCAGTGCATTATTTTCTCCACTGATGGGTTAAGTGATGAAAGCAGCTCTCAGTTTTCAATTCTGATATTGGCCAGCAGTGCAGCATGTGTGGTTGTCTTACCTTTGATATTTTTCTTAATCTACAAAGTTTTAAGACTTCACATAAAGCCAAAAACAGTGAAGGAAGCTGACCTTGCAAGAGAGTCCTATGTGAAATTTGAAACACTGTCTCTGAAACCTCGAACAGTGTGTGCAGGAGAGCAGCTCTGGGCGCGAAGGTACACAGATGAGTCGGAAAGGCTTCTCCTCTGTTCTAGGTCAAGCATGGATTCTCAAATGACCTTCAAAAGTGAGGGCTCTAGGTCTGAGTATCTGTGTTGAACATGGGTGAGGGTGGAGGAGATGGAATGTAAAATAGGTAAAATTAATGCAAAATGATGGTACTGCATCTGGAAGCAGGTTGGTGCTAGGTGGTGGTGAGAATATATTATGTGATGTAACGCAGTCTACTGGATGGGTAGGGTGGTGGGTAGGAAGGAGAATAGAAGAAAAATGTTGCCTGATTATTTTCTTTTTTTGTGTTTGTGACTTCGCGTGTAAAGGAATGATGTTCTTCAAAAGATAAATACAGTATGAAAAGGTTGCCTGGTTGAAGATCGTCTATTTTTTGTCTTCATTAAAACACCATTCTGTTTTCTCTTCTCTTGTTTTACTGTATGACGTGCTAGTTGCCTGTATCAAACATTAATCACAACCTTCATAAAAACAAGGAGCTTCTTTAGTATTCTGAGGCTCAGGCAAGATATCATTATGAGTAACTCTGTGAGCCATACTAAATATTCATAATGTTAATTTACATCAAATGATCTTATTGCAAAATCACAGCCTTAGAATTTACTTGGATGCATGTGTGTATATACCTCATTTTCAGAAATCTCTCTACAGAAAATCACTAATCACTAGTGTAGGATTAAATTTTGCCTGCTGGAATGCTAGAAAGCTTATCTTGTAAGGCATAGCTTGGCAAGAGAAAAACATTTTGTCAAAAAACCTCTGACATAAACTCATGATAGAAAATGAACATGCTGAAAAATCTCCATCTGCATGATGGTGCTCAACAGTCAGGAATAATAGACTGAGTATTTGAGACCATAGTTGCTGTAGTAAGGAAGCAGGTGAGATGTTCAAAAGTGCAAAACTAGCTTACATGCGTATGCTTTTACAATTAACCTTGGTGTTCCTTTCTGTGTTACCCGTGTGTGTGGTTAAAAGGTAGTCTTTCTTTTTCTCTGAATAATTTTAATTGCAGCAAAAATGTTTTCCGATTTCTGAGCGGAATATTTTTAATTTGGCAGTTTTTTGTTGGAATTAGGGACTTTTTTGGGAAAGCGGATTCTTCTTGTGTCAAAACCAAGGTTCATCTGACAAGCAGGTTATGTAAACTAAAGTTTTAGTGGGATCTGAAGTGTTACAATATTTGCCTTCTCTTTTCCATACAGATATTGTAGCCAGTAGCCAGTAGCTGCTGCTGAAGGTGTTTCCAATTAAAACCACCATGTTTGTCCTTAGTGAGAGCAATTGTTTTAACATTTATTTTTTAATTCCTGGGGAATATTTGATTTCAGGTTTCAAAGCTCTGCAAGAAACTTGAATCCAGATTTCCGAAGTGCTATCACCTGACTCACAGATGGTACATCAATATATACGTCTGAGGTGGTGCAAAAATGATTTGTGAGAGCTCACTTGCAAATATGAATAAAACATTTTGGTTTGACTAATTCTTGTGGGGAATTAGCATGTCCTAACATCAGGAGTTACTCTCTATGACCACATGTGCTACCAGTATATCAAAGATGAAATGTATGATAAAGGGCATGTTCTTTCAAGAAACATGAGATACATTTTTTTTCCACAGTTCTTGAGTTAAAAAGAGTTATATAACACAGATATACATCTGTATTCCATGTCAAAACAGCAAATTTATTGGGCAATTTTGACAGGAATTTGGTACGAAGGCCAAATCACACAATAAAGATATGTGCCCTGCATCACCCAGGATTGGTTTCATTAAAAAGCTGAAGAACTACTTTTGGTAAGAGATGTAAATTTTTATACTGTAACTTGTTAATATTAGTGATAGAATCATTATGAGATAGATTTTGTCACCTGTAGTCCATTTGTGTAATATCTTCTGAAACTCAATATTGAATCAATGATCACTATGAATAGTGATGGCTATAATCTATGCTTGCCTGGTAGCGGAGGTTGGAGAGGATTTAACCAATGTTTATGCATCGCCTTTCATATATTTTGCACTTTGTTAGCTCAATTCATCCTGTATTTCACAAAAAAATTAGACTTCTTTTTATACACTACCTACAGTAAGTGAGTCAAAACTGGGCTGTTAATGAAATAACTGAGTAATGTGAGCTGAATTGCAAATAGACTTCATTTTTACTTAAAGCTTTAGTGGGCCTCAGCACTTGTCATAGTTAACCACAATCCTGGCTTCAATGTGCACTTACTAAGCCAAACTCTAGGCATCTGTGCATCTATTTTAGTCCTTGTCAGTGCTCACAGTGGACTTTTTATTCTTTGCACTGTCATCAGATTCTGATATTTAGGTGGGAGATGAAGAGAGAAAACTCCTGTGTGTGTACCATAAAAATGTCTCTAGTAACAAAATCATTCAGAGTTGAGCTATATCTAAGAAGCTAAACTAAGGATGTTTAAAACTCACTACCTTTTCAAAGAAGGAATTAAAATAGAAGTTGTTTCAATGTGAAAATAAAGGATTGTTTTTATACGTGACAGCGTGTCTGCCTGACCCTTTCATATTTATAGCTTTAGACAATGTGGTGAGTGTAGCTGCGGGGCTAGAGGAAATCTGAGAAGAAATGAGAGAAAATGCAAAAAGAAGGCTGAGAAACAATGAAAGGGAAATATCCTAGAGAATGGTGGGACTGTGTTCGACAAAGTCTTTTGCTTGTAATTCTGCTATGTACATGGCAAAGGTGCTGGAGTGTCTGCACACAGTTAGCTATAAAAGATTGAATGAAGCTGCTGCCAGCTTTGATATGCCCAGTTTCAACAAGGTGGGGGCAGCTATAGAACTGGAGTGTGAAACAAAGGCACTAGGGGAATTTGAAGAATGTACTTGAAGCTGGTCTTGAAGCCTGCCTGTGTCACAGTGAAAGCTGTGAGAGCTTTTTGAAGAACACTGCCTATGAACTGAAAAGGGGAGGAGAGTGAGTAGTTTATGCATTTATTGCAAAAAAGAGGGATATGCAGCAGTAGCAATTCTGGCTAGGGTGTGAAACCTAGACATGGTATATATACTACAGTAGTCCCCTGTGTTCTATGATTTTCTTGTAAAACAACCAATTTGTTAGACGTTTGGCTGGGAGCAGACCACCTTGCATTTCCTTCATGAGCACAGATGAGATTTCAAAATGAGCCTTTTTTTAATTACCTAACTGAGTGTAGTTTGGAAACATGCTGCCCAGGATGCCTTCTCTCATAGAATTCATTGCATTGCTCTAGGTGTTACTGTCAGCCACAACAGCTCCAGGCTAGCACTATCCTTTATTGAAAATGAGACATTTTCAATAGAATAGGTGCTTTCTTTCTACTTTTTAGATCACTGAAAAAATTATCTTCTGAATTTCAGAAGACTAAAATTCACATCAGACTGGAGGCATGATTAATGTGCCATTTTTATAAACTATTTTTTATAAATCTGAAAGGTTCTCTTGCTAAACAGCTGCAAAATCAAGCTGAAATATTCAGCCTGAAACAGCCTGTAGCAAGGAGAGAATTCTTTTTACAAAGCTGTGTATAATATTCACCGGTGTTCAGGATGGGAATCTTTTCAATCAATAAGGCAGGAACCAACTATGGTATCAAATTTCTCAAAACCTATGTAAAAAAGATGCACTTTTCTCCAAATTTCTATTTTTTATAAAATAACTTACTAACGTTGCATTTTGGAAATAATGTGAAATTGCTCCAATTACTGTAGCAAGTTCAGTAGTACCTGTCGGGTATGTTTTTCAAATATACTTGGTCTAACTTAAAATCTGGTATTTTTGAAAGATAATTCATTGGCTTAAGAGAGTAGTGAAAGGAGCTGACTGTAAAACAGCTATGACTTTAACCTCTCATAATAGTGGAGTAAGTTTATTAACAATGTGTGAATTGCTATATTTTGGGTATAAGATACTCTGACAAGAAAATACTTTTTCTAAAGTATGATGAGTAATCGTATATTTGACACATCTTTTTATGGAGGAGTCAAAGGTTTGGGGGTTTGGTTTTGTTTCTTATGGAACTAAGGTGACTGAAAGAGGACTTGGTGAAATACTTCATGTCTGAAGAAGTCTAAAATGGAATGTGTTTTCTTCTTCTCTCTTGATGTAGGATGTGTGTGCGTATTAAGGGGGAGGAATAGAGTATTCCAGTGTTGCCTCAGGCAGAATTCAAGTAGTTTCTTCTGAGGCCTCTTGTATGGGCTGCTGGTACTTGAGACATTCTACCAGACTAGATGGAAAGCAAGAACAATCAAAAATGACAATTACTAGTAGATTCAGTGCAACTATAATTTAAATTCAACGGGTTACTTGTTCAGGCACCTAAATAATATTTTTTTTAACTTATTTTTATATCTTTTATATTTTTCATTCATTTAGGCATACAGTTGTAGGAAACCTTTGGAATCCTCAAATAGCAGTTCCTCTAATCCTTCAAAAAATAAATTCATAAACAAATCTCCAGATCATGTTCCTGCTTAATTCTTTTCTCTCTTATATTTTCCAGTTTACTGTTGTTTTGGAAAGCAGGAACAAAATGATATATATAGTCTGCTTTGTAATATTTTCCAGTCTCTAAAACAATTACACTTTTGTCAAAGAAAAAGGAAATTAAGTCCAATACTCGTAAGTACCTTTTTTGTAAGAACCTGATTTAATTAATGACGCTGAAGTCTAACACCATGGGCTGATCGGATCGACATCTGAGTCATGTGTCTTGAATTTTATGCTGCTAAGATCTGGCCAAATGTTTGAGTCTCCCAAGATAAATCTTACCAACTGTATTTTTTATTTCATAGCCCAGTCCCATGTTTAAGATCATGTGGAAGTTAAATCACAGAGAGGAAAAAGAAGCCAATATTAACAGTATGGTAAGCAGCTGGCTATAGAGCATGGGAAATTAAATTCACAAGAATATTACTTTCTTTTTTAATGTTACTTTTATCTTTTTTTGTCATTTAAATTTTATCCTTACTTGACTTTGGATAGAGCCTTCTGTATTAGACTAATCCTGCACTGTACTGCTAGCTTCAGATTACACATGAATGTCATTATCCGTACGTATTTTTCCAG